TAGCTGAGCTAAGAAGGTCTTGGTTTCAACACGATGGCGAACCGCCGCATGTGGTACGGCCGGTACGTGAGCGTCTCACTGAACTATTTGGTGACCGTTGGATCGGGCGATTAGGACCGCAAGCCTGGCCACCACGATCTCCTGATTTGACACCTTTGGACTTTTTTTGTGGGGGTGTGTTAAAGAAAAAGTGTTCAATAGAATTTGTGACAGTGCTGAGGAATTGTGAGTGCATTCGAGACAATAAGAACGAGTTGTATCGAGGACTCAACTCTCATGCCTCGACTTCACGAAGAGACGCGGCGACGGGCTCGAATTTGTGTTGAGATGAATTGGGCACAATTCGAGCCACACTTTGTTAGACCGCGGAGAACATGAACAGGTAAGTACGTTTTTGCATTAAAATAAAAATCATGATGTTAAGTTTAACTGGTTAAATTAATCGTTACTTATAATAAAATTAAAGGTTATTGTAATAAATTACTTTACGTAGTACGTAGTACTTACGATCGTCTCTGTGTGTGTTTGTGTGTGCTCGTTTATGCATGTGTGCAACTATCAAAAGCGCTCGCGCCGCGCGGTCGTTCACCCGTGTATTTGTACGTTTTACATTGCGTGCTTAGAAAATACGATTTCGTTAAATACTAATTATTCAAGTAAACAAATATTTTTGTAGGACTCCATTAATATGGTATATTAACCATGTTAAAGATTCGGAAGCGTTTTCCTAACATCTTGTATAAAGCGAGAGTTTATGGGAAATAAATATTATGCGGCCCTCTGGTGAATATTAAGTTTATTGTATTTTACTTCGTCGTTTGATCTCTGTTTCACAGTAAACAGTAAATTTACAGTTTAAATTTGCCTTAAATAATAGGATACAAATGTTGAACAATAAAGTACTATAGAGCGTTTGAATCTATTTGTTTTCACAAAATTGTCAATTCTCTCTATTTGACTTTAAAATGTAACAAAATGATGTTTTTCTAATCACTGATCATTGTTATATACACAAATTAACTATCATGACAAACCATTCACTTTCAGTGTGAATTTTTTTTTACCGGTGACTCCTTTAAGATACTTCAATTTTTTAAGCGGGATAGCCTATCTTTTAAATACACCTTACCCAAATATAGCACAAAATTATATGTTATAGTACAGTTGGCAACCCTAGTCCAGACTGAGCGAACAAACGGACAGCATGAGATTTGGCGTTTGCTGCCGCACGCCCCACATATTTGTTCGCCTTCGTGTCGTTTGGGACAATTCCTGTAGAAACAAACGACTAACTGGATGGCCTCCTTTCATTATCTTTTCGCACAATAACTTGAACAAAACTATAAAAAAAAATTACAGTGCAGTAGATTTTTCGTAGCGTCAATCGATACTGTGCATGACACAAATGTTGAAATTAATTCTAACATATTCTTTCTTTTTATTTATTTATATATATTTCATTGAAGATGTTAATTAGTTTATTAATTTTGTTTTTTACAAAAAAAAAATGTTTTTTTATAAATTATTTCAATATGCCCGACTGAGTTGCTCTTTCAATCACTCGCTTATATGTTCTCATCTCTAGTTCTTTTTTTTTTCAAACTGTCTGTGGTACGTCAATTGTTAGTTTAAAATGTATTATTTTCGTGAAAACTGTGATTTTACTGCTTATTTTTCAAAAATTTCTTTAAACATGTAGTTAAAAGTGATAATCCAAGTTAACAAATACGTTTCAATTGCATTTCTTTAGAATAGAATAGAATAGAATAAATTTATTTGCAAGAAACATGGAAACATTATAGCTGGTTTGTTACAATAAGAGACACACATATTTCACCAAAGTATGGCATGCAAAAATTTTCTTTTTCATTAATTTATCAATAAAAATTTAACAATAAGAATTAAACAATTTCATATCACAAGTCAATCAATATAATGTCAGAATAAAAACATGAATTATGTCATTACTCGTAAATATAATTTTATTTAATGTCAAAATATCAGACTATATTAATTATTATTGAAATATTCATCAAGGTTATATGGAGACTTTATAGTCAACCATTTACGCAAAGCTGTAGCGAACCGGCTTGCAGGCAGTTTTCTAATATGCAAAAGAATGTTATTGTACACCATAATGCACATGCCGTAGCAATTTCTTTGAAAAAATGCACTCCCCAACGATGATTGCTATTGCAATCGTGTTCCATCTCTCGGACGCAGTCGAGGATTTTTCATAGCGTCAATTTTTGGGAAATGTTCAGGATGACGTCTGACAAGCATACCCATCTCTAAAATATACATACCTGTCAAGGTTAACACTTGTAATTTTCGAAAAAGAGGTCGACATGAGTCCATAGGTCCTGTTCCACAAATGGCTCTAATGCATTTCTTTTGCATAAGGAAAGCATAGTTTATGTCAGGAGAGTTACCCCACAATATTATGCCATATCTCAAAACTGATGATACATAACCATAATAAGCGGTTAAGGCTACCCTTTCGCCAGCCGTATATCTTAATCTCTTTAATGCGTACACAAACCTACTTAGTTTAGAGCAAACATGATTGATGTGAGCTTTCCAGTTACAATGTTGATCAAGAATGACACACAAAAATTTTGTTTCACTCACTTCATTAAGCTTATCGTCTTTGTTAATAATATCTAACTTAAAAGGAGTTGATTTATAATTTGAAAACTGGACGAATGTGCTTTTCGAAACATTCAAAATTAATCCATTTCTAGTTAGCCATGCGTCAACACACTTTACAGTCTCATTTACGGTATCATTTAGGGTAGAAATACCATTATTTTTTTCCTCTGATACTATTACTGATACGTCATCTGCATATAGAATAGTTTGGTGATTAAGTGATTTTGGTAGATCATTAATATAAATTAGGAACAGAAGTGGCCCAATTACACTTCCCTGCGGCACACCACGTTCATTTACTAAATATGGAGATCTGTATGGAATAACTTCACCGTCCGCATTTAGTTTAGTTACTTCGACACGCTGTTTACGATTCGAGAGGTAACTTGCCAGCCAGTCCAGAGCATTACCCCTGATGCCGTACTTATCACATTTATGTAACAGTATTTCATGATCAACGAGATCAAAAGCTTGAGTCATATCAAAAAATAACGCTATAGTTGGAATCTTTTTATCTATGTTACTCGTAACAGATTTCATCAACATAAATGCTGCGAGTGAGGTGGATTTATCCTTTTGGAAACCATATTGCTCCGGAACAATGACTCTATTCTTTGTAAAAAAGCTTAAAATACGGCTTACTAACGCTTTCTCAAATATTTTTGAAAGTACAGAGACAAGGGAAATAGGTCGATAATTATTAATGTCTAGCTTGTTATTTTTTTTGTGTATTGGCTTTATTATAGAGAGCTTTAGCGCATCTGGAAACCGTCCTTGCTCATATGAGAGGTTTATAAGATGAGTCAACACAGGAGCCAAAATGTCAGCGCATGTCTTGAATAAGAAAGTAGGGAGAGAGTCAAATCCTACCGACTTAGTGTTATTTAGCGAAGTAATAATTTTTTAAGCTCTTGCACTGTGCAAGGCCGTAAAAAAAAATGAATTATTTACAGTTTCTATACCGTCATTAGAGTTCACAAAGTCAGCTTGATTATCTTTGTTTTATAAAATGCATATTAAATATTTTTGCCATGTCAATAGGATCATTTATCACTGTACCATTAAAAATAATGTCTTCAATTTCATTAGGTAACTTTACATTATCACGTTCGTCTCCAATTACCGTCCAAGTTGCTTTGCATTTATTTTTAGTATTCAAGATAAATCGACTATTTTGAATGTATTCTGATTTGTTAATGCAAGCTCTTAGTAATTTGGTGTATTTATTAATCTTAATTTTTTTATCTAGAGTTTTACACAAAACATACTGACATCTCAGTTCTTGCTTTTTGCCACTAGAAACCTTAATCCCTTTAGTAATCCATTTTCTTTTACCACCATTCATATTCACTCTGATTCTCTTAGTAGGAATACAAAGATTAAAAAATAAAACTAAGTCTTCATGGAAACTATTAAATGCCTTATCAACGTCGGTTCCACTTCGATAAACATCGTTCCAAGTGAGGCTGGATAAGCATTTCTTAAAAATGTCGATATTATGCTTGCTATAGTCTCTTATATTCTTATACCAGCAAGCCAAATAATTTTCTTTTGTCAATATTGAGAATTCTAGGGTTTGTCCAGTGTCATGATCAGATAATTGTAAACTGTGTACTTCACCCTTGGCATTTTTTATGTTACTTGCGATGTGATCAATGCAGGATGCCAATCTTGTAGGCTCATTTATATGTAATTTAAGGTTAAAAGTTTTCAGTAATGTTTTGTAATCCCTAGTAGTACGATCGTCTTTCAGAGTATTTATATTCATATCTCCAGCAATGAGAATAAGTTTAGTTCTATATTTCGTCAATTTGTACAAAGTTTGCTCCAACAATAGTAAAAAATTTGATAAATTAGAATATTTAGGTACTCTATAAAGACATACAATTATGCGTTTATGAGTGGGTATTTCAACAGCACAGCACTCAAAGATCCCTTCCTCTGAAAGTTCAGAACATACATCAAGAATTTTAAATTTTAACTGCCTACGAACCAGCACGCAGACACCTCCACGTTTTTGCTTTGCTCTACAGAAGGAAGCAGCTAACTTATAGTTTTTAAACCTAATATTGTTTTCAGAGCCACGTTTCACAAACGTCTCAGAAAAACATAAAATATCAAGTTCTTTATTACGTTCTTTAAATTCATCAATACATAATTCTATTGTACTTAATTTATTCAATAAGCCTTGAACATTCTGCTGTAGTACATTTACCAGTCTTTTTCTGACTGTTAGGTCCGAAAAAATGAAGAAACTTTATCTATTCCTATATTTGTTTGCTTATCAGTCATTGATCTTATTTTAATTGCATTGGTAATTGAAAAATAATTTAATATACTAGATTGCTTTAATACTTTTCCAGTTTTAGCATTTTCTTTAACAGAGCGTCTGAAGTATTTAACAATGTTTTTAGGGTTTAGAAAAATTTTATCATACTTATCGCTGTCTATAAATACATTAATTTTTAAAGTCAGGGTACGCAAGAAGATATTCTTTTTTCGACAAAAATAGGGTTCAAGGTTTACAAATTTACAATTCGGATATATATATGAGCACAGCTCCAACCTACGATTTAATAAATTTACATTAAAATAATTGCTTTGATATACTGGCATTATTAACACTGTTGAACACTTTAATTTATGAAGTGTAATATGCAATTCGGACTCCAATTTTAATAGGTTTTCATCGTGTCCGCCTACTCCAAGTATTACAATATCATCCTCACTCAAGGAACTCGTGAATTTTTCATCCCAGGTTTTTAGTATATGAGAACTAGGTGCACCACTAAAGATGCAAGACATAGGCTGATACTTGTCATTCCATTTATCAGTTCTTGATTTTTTTAATATAGCTGACAAACCCGCAAGAGAATCATCTCCCACTATTTTAATTTTATGTTTACGTTCATTAAGTATTTGTGAGTTAATAACTAGCTGGTCATTCGTCGTTATGATCTCTTTTACCGGATCGTTTTGCTGAGGAGAGATATCTGTAGAAAGATTTATGTAGTTGTTACATACACTGCTTCCTGATTGTCGACGTTTAGAGCTGTTGTGCATCCTTGAAGAAGGTGTTTTTTTAAAAGAACCACAAATTGTTTTCAATTGTAAAATTTTATTTTCTTGTCTGGTATTAATCTCTTTTAAGGAGCCATTTTCTGATAATAAATTGACAATTTCCTGTTCGGCAGAGGCCAACTTTTCAGTTAAGTTTGCAACTTTGCACTCCAATTCTTTCACTCTTTCTGTGATGTTTAGTGATCTTATATCAGGACAACTTCTATTTAATGCATTAGTGGACTCAGGGGAAGAATCAGGTATTGTGTCCTCCTCTTCATAGTCAACCGACAGTGATTCAAACGAATTCTCAGTCACCACAACGTTAGTGTGTTTTCTTCGGTGTGTGATGTTTCTAGTCTGTGTACTTATGTTTTCGATTATTCCAATATTATCTTTTGATTGAGGAGTAGAAAAACGATTACAGCTTCTAGGACTTGAAGTGGCTTGTGGAGAAATAATTGTTTTATTATTATCCTGTGCAACGAAATTCGCTTTCCGTCTTTTTTCTAAACATGTATCACACCTCCAAGATCTTCTACGTTCCGGTGTCATCGTATTATAGTAACGTTGTACAGTAACATTAACGCATTCTAAGTGATACGTTGATTTACATTGAATACAAGCCAGAAATTCTTTTTTTGGTAAACAACGTTTACATTTTGTACATTTGTTAGTATTCATGATGGTAAATAACTTTTTGAGGTAAAGTTTTTATTCACAATTTTATTACGTGTTCAGAATTAATATTTTCTTAACAAAAAGAAGCCTCTGCTGAGGATCGAAAACAGGAACTGTATTTCTGCGTCTGAACACTGTCCGCCGGGGCTACCGTTCAGTTATTGACAATGACGAAAGTTTTGATTACTATCCAGTTAGATAATTTTAAACACAAGGAAAGACGTTAAGTGTATAAAAGCAAATGAATTATTTTTTACAGTTCTTTTGTTATTTCACTAATTTTAATTCATTTAAGCACTTAGATACTTCATATATGTGTTCACTTATATTATTGTTACAAATCTTTATATGTATTGATTTGCCACTAGGTTTTGTTAACAATTGGTTTTTGCATAAATATAATTTGTATATTGTCTCTTGTTTATATTTTGAAATCTTCTTTTAACCTCATATCACTTTATTTGGTTGAATTAATCACTTTAGCTATTTTTAATCGAATTATTATATGGAACAGATGTAAACAGTGAACGAGTACCCTCGAAAATTTTGTTTAATCATTGCGAAAATTCCGTATATAGTTCCTGTTAGTTGTTTGTTTACAACATTCGCCACTTTAGTTGGAATAAATAAGGCATACTGTTATTTGCTTCTAAAGTATCGATACTAAAATTACTTGGTATCGAATGAAAAGTATCGAGTAAGTACTTATAAGTACTGGTATCATTTTATCCCTAGTTTTTACCTATATTGATTTCTTTGTCGGTCAGCTTTTGCTTCGCCCTATTTTTTATCGTGTAGCATTTAGATATATGAACTTAACATGTATCGAGAAAGTTATTGAAAATGTAGAGCTATCTCGTGAAATTGTCAAGATCATTACATTCCAAACATGTTACTCCAGCGTTTTTCATTGAACAAAAATATGTCGATCTATTATTTATTAACCGTATACATTTTGTTATTTTCAAAGGATGTGTCTGCAGATGCATGTGCATTTAATGTAAAAATGACCCAAACACTTCAAAATGAAGGGTTCCACAGGTAAGCATGCAATTGTCTTGCCAATCTTTTTCTTTTCCAACAATAATCTTATAGTGTGTTTTTGTATAAAACCTACAGAAACTAATCTTTTGATTTAGTTTTCTATCACAATGTGATTTTATTCTACTTAAAAATTCGCAATTATACTTGAAATTTAGCAATCTATGTTACCTACCAATTATATTTAATTATTATGTAGATTATATTCTATGTATAACATATAAAAATATTAAAAAGTTTTGAATAATGTTTTTCAGGAATATTTCATATGGTATTCTATTCTACATTGATTATGAAAGTGAAGACTGGATAAATAATAACTGTATTATAGCTCTGGATCAAACATTACCACCTGGAGTGTATGTCAATCCAGATGAATTAAGTGAACTAAGAAGAATTAATGCGGTATATAATATTGTCATTATTTTTAAGATGACTGACTGACTTTCAATATTGAACAATAGACACAAAATATCTCAGATCTGTTTGCATACTTGCATGATACACAAAATAACTGATCGATTTTGTAAATAATAATTTTTGTTCTTAAAATAATAATTTATTACTGAGCGACTCTTGATACACTGAAAATACTTTAATGACAATGCCTTGATTACATTGTGCTGAAAATATAAATGAATATGTAAATGCTGACACACCAAGCCCTGATCCGGATCAGGAGTGCCTAAATCATTATTATAATACCTACTTGCCATCATGTATCTTAAAACTTAGTTTATTAGGTTTATTATAAAACTTAAAGCATTGCATGGGAATTTTCGGCTGCAAATTTTCTGTGCAATTCTTTGATTAATTTGAAAAGATTTTTGAAATAATAAGGGGTGGTGAGTTTAAAAAGTATACTAAATAACATTTTAAAAATACATATATTCATTTTAACAGAATTGAATAGTCAACCCATGAGTTTCTCACAAAATTATGATTATAATTAGGTCTTATGCAAAAGTGTTGAAGTCTTTCACTCAATTAATTAATGTTATGCAGCGCTAAGACCTAGGTGAATAGAAGACGCAAGATTGAGATAAAAAAATATCCAATAATTTGCATGTTTTTATCTATTAAATTTTTTCTCCTTTTATTCTCTTAATAGATTTTTATGTATTAGATATTTATGTATTGTATTTTAGCTCAACGCTGTACCAAAAAATAGAGTCAGTGTTGAACTAACAACTGAACAATCTGAAGAATCAAGTGTGTGTATAATTGGATTGGTGTCTGAGAGTAAGGTCGACCTGTGGCTTCCTGTTCATGCAAGATACCATGAGGCTGTTACTGGAGGAGGGTAAAGAGTTGATTCACTTTATTAATACAGTAAAAAATATTGATTGTACGACACAAGACAAAACATACGACACAAGTGGTACGACAGTTTGTCTTCTGTCTGATCCATTAAATTTAACTATTACTACTACTGAATTGATTGTTAAGTATATTTGTTCCAAGTATTTGGAGTGCCATTATTATAATGTTATTTTATCAGATTACTTTTGTGACACTAGATTAATCCTATATGCTACGTGGTACTGCTTAGTAGCAACATGGTTGAATGCAGTATTAACAACTGCACTGCAATTGGGGTGCTAACACTAATTTGCATCTACCATCTATCATTCTATCATAACAACAGTAGCAAAAAATAATTGCTGGATATTCTGCGTATAGCGAATATCAGGTAGTATAATATAACATTATAATATTTGTAACAAATGTTCAGTGCAATTTAATTGAATACAAAGTCAACAAATTCGAAGCCAAACTAAAGTAACATGATAGTCTGTATTTTCTGCTAAGCAAATATTGCTCTAAAAGTAATTGTGGACTGATGAACTATAGAGACTGCTTATCGTATTTCGGCTCGAAGGACCAATGTTTGGTAAACGATGGTTGGCGCTGATAAAACGCCGCTACATGATAATAGTGAACATATGCGACTACATAAGTACGAACATAGAAATAAGAAAAACGCAATAATAACAAAAAATAGGTTTTTCAGAGCATACTGCTTTATAACGAGGTCGTCGGTAGCTTTAAATGAGTATCTATTTTTTATATAGTATAGATTATGTAAAAAACATAATTAACAAATCGCAGTGATATCTCTGTAAGATAACTTGGACACCTAATAGCTCTGCTGCAACAGATGTAAATGACAACTATTATACATTTCATAATCGATACAACTCGTGTCATAATTTCAGAATGGCAAGAAATAAAATCGAACCACCTACAATTTATCTTCGCTGTTCAGACCAGAGGTTCGATGTGTGCGGTAAACCAATACCACTGTCTGTAACATTCCTTTGTAAAGGAGACTCAAGGGACAAATGCAGCTGGAGAGAGATACCTTACGATATGGTAAGTAAAAGACATAATTTGCCTATTTTAGACTACAGTCTATTTGATGTTATACTGATCCATCAATAGTGTTTTTCTAATATGGAATCGGCAAACTTTCAAAAATGAATGTATTAAAATTATTCAATATGTATGCTTATTCCCACAAATAATGTATTATCTTATGGAAATAAGTATAATTGTGTACCTAAAACTGACGTCATGTCATTTGTTAGCCAAAACAAAAGGGATTTTTTCTGTAAACAAAATCAATTATACAAAATCAAATAAATAAAACCTAAAGATGATATTAAGCATTCAGTAAATCATAAATCAAATACGTATTCTGCACTTTAAATGTTTCCCGCGCTTTTCCTAAATAGTTTTATTACCAACTTACCCAAAATTAAGTCACGCGTTCTGATTCGTCTTTGACGTGAGACACAGAATACAAATGTTCAAAGATTATATTTTAGTTTCCTAATTTGATATAATAAAATATCATTCTAACTTTATAACTGTTTAATTTTGATCTTATTGTTGTCGGATCCCCTACTCTGTACATACAGCAACATATCAGGTTTCTACAAAAGACCAAACTTCGACAAAAAATGAACATAACATTGGAGAAACGTTTCGCCGAGTTCTGACTTCTATAGTTCACCAGGTCAATACTGTGCAAATGTACGCTGAGACTGCATTTAGTATTAGTCAAAATTCATATTATTAAACAGAGACTTTGCAAAGGTTAACTTAGTAGGAGGTTCGTCAGGAGTAATATTTACTCCTAGAAGGTACTAGATTTGCTTATTCCCTGTATAACAAGCTATATGGTCAGTTGCGCAAACGTCAATTAGAGTTTATTGATGCCTTTAAGCCCTAATGAATATCAAATTTGTATGGGTAATGTCGCTTAAAATTAATTTAATTTAATGGGCGTTTGTGCAACTAGCTGATAATCGTGTAAAACCTGATAAGTAGGTATTCCTCTATTTTTACACTAACAATAAGTTGAAGTAAATGTAATTAACTAGAATATCTTGTATTAATTCATCTTATCAACCAGAAGATGTCCTACCAGAGGATGGGTTGTAAGAGATAAATAGACGATTGATAAACGCTAAAATTGTCATATTTTGTTTCAGATGACAAAACCTCTTATTTGGGACGTCCCAGTTGGCAATCTGGATCATTACTACTCTGTGGCTTTTGGGACTGTATTAGGAATAATCTCTGGGTCAACGTATCTGCTCAAAGCGATACATGAATATAAGATGAAGAAAAAGAGAGCATAAGACTATGTATATTGAGTATGGATTAGGTGTATTATTATAATTTTAATGATTACCTAAACGTGTGCAATAAAAACAGTATTAATAATATTTCGTAGTTGATTAATATAGTACGAGATTCGCTCGCTTGAATCTGCATGTGTGTTTTTTTTATTCATTATCATCAGCCCTATTACCTCCCCTCTGCAGCTTTTCTTATGGATGGATAAGGAGGGACAACCATGACTCCACACTGGCCTAATGTGGATTGGAACGTATTAATGACACATGCAGCCGGTACCGACAGCTTAACGTGCCTTCCTAAGCACAGAACAGCTCGATATAAATTTTTGTTCGTCCATCCCGTGCTAAACCCTTGCGAAAGTTGTTTAACATCAACGATCGTGGACCGCGCGCTTATCCACCACCTTATACGCCACCAATGAACTTAAAAACATCCATAAGAGCGACTGATCACCCTCCGAGAGTTTCGTGTAAGTTTAATATATTTATATTTAATATTAAACAACATCACATACATTGCTCAGATTCCAAGATGAGTAGCTAAAGCCCCCGTATTATGGAGTATCTGAGACAACGAAGGTACCACAACACCCAGACCCGAGTCGATATAGAAAAGTTCATTTTCTACATTGACCCGACCGGGAATCGAACCCGGGACCTCAGAGATGGCGACACCCTGAAACCGGCGTGCGAACCACTCGGCTACGGAGGTGTAAGTTTGTTACAAATGCGTATGTAAATTTTTGCGTCATAATAATATGCTTTTAATATGCACATCAAGCCCTTCCATATGATATATCACTTGAACTAGAAGGGTGCTAGTAGCTTCAGTTTTCGAACATTACATTTTTTATTATTCTATATAAGTATAGTACAAAAGAAGGCCACTTCCGCTGTCAGTACGCAGAAATCTTTTAAAGTGCTCTTTAATGTTTATTTTGTCAATATACAGAGTGATTCAAGATACAATACAGGGCGTGATCCTGCAACGTTTGGGCGGGAAACTTTTTTTTTACATAGGTAATAAAACCGCTAAGAAATCTTTAAAAAGTGTACAGTAACTCACAAATCAGTATTTAAGTACTGAATAGAAATATGTTGAAATTATTTTTCTTTTGTGTAAATGAAACAAGCAGTTGAGACAATGAAAAAGTATTTAAAAAAAAGGAAGGACTAAAAAAGCACCTCCACTCGATGGCGACTAGTAAAAGTTGATTTTTGCAGGAAACGAATGGACCAAATATAGTAATTTCCGTTCCTTTTAAATAACTGAAATTATATTAAGAGTTGTTTACTGAGTTTTGAAAATTAACTTACTTTTAAACATGAACGGAAACCGGAAGGGTTGTCATGGAGAAATCAAGAACTTACCGTAGCGACATCTAGTTTGATTTCGGAAAGTAATGTTTTTTTTTTCAATATTCCCTCATTGTGCGGACCTAAACGATTATCGATATATACCGATACAAACCAATTTTCAGTCACTCATCACAACTTAGTCATCGTTAAACCTTAATAGACGTTAGTGCAACTAAAGCCCGTTATCACTAAACTTAGAAGTCGCCCAAATCTGTCGCCTAAATGTTTAGGAATCGCGTAAGGTGATAATGCTTTTCACCAATAACTAGGAACCACCTAGCGACATTAAGAAGTGTCTAAAGTTATTACGAGTTATACTGTGCTTTGATTGCTAAGATTAGGCGTTTCTTAGTTAAGCTTCTGCCTTGTTCTATAGATTAGTGAAAAGAGGTGTGTTAAACGACGTATAGCTACACGAAAAAGGCAGTTAAAGCGCGGTAACTGGAAACATGGAGAAACTTAGAAGTCGCCCAAATCTGTCGCCTAAATGTTTAGGAATCGCGTAAGGTGATAATGCTTTTCACCAATAACTGGGAACCACCTAGCGACATTAAGAAGTGTCTAAAGTTATTACGAGTTATACTGTGCTTTGATTGCTAAGATTAGGCGTTTCTTAGTTAAGCTTCTGCCTTGTTCTATAGATTAGTGAAAAGAGGTGTGTGTTAAACGACATATAGCTACACGAAAAAGGCAGTTAAAGCGCGGGAACTGGAAACATGGGGAAATATGATGGCACATGAGAGTTGGTGCTATAAGAATTATAAAAGTTCCATTAGTTGATACTGATTATGCTATTGGTAGTACAATATGACAATGATCGGAAACACAACTGTGTCGTATAGTGTTGGTTTCCGGATTCGAATCCGTTCGAGAATTCGTGAATTAAGTAGCTACTGGTAAGGAAACACTAACTATCCTGATAGATGAATCTACAGTATCCATGACCTTTTAAAAATAAATAGGTAAGTATTACAAAGAGACGATATTTTTTTGAGCAAATAAATAAAACTATTTTTGAAGTGTGTATAACTTATTTGTGTCTGTATTTGTTTTATTAATAAATAATTATTATTATATAAATAATACAATACAAAGCGGTTGTCACTGTCATTTCCTGCATAGTACATAATACCCTATCGGTATTATTTTTATTAAAAATAAAAAACTTTTTAAGGACAAAGCATTAGCTTTTGCCATATTTAATTAGATAATGTACAAACAATTAATACTTAATATGTAAGTAAGTAGGTATATTTATTTGAACTCTATTAGGTACCCATTGTTATTGACACCAAAATTTAGGAAATCTTACGCAATATTAATACAATTGAATATAGAATACATGGATTCTGCTATCCACGAAGAAAATTTATAATAAGTGAAACTTTACTAGCCTCTATATTTACTTTAGCAGTCATAATTGTATAATGGTTTTTCTTTTTATGTAAGATGCGCCACCTCTTAAGATTTCTTGGAACTATGATTCTGACTTGCTCGAACTGCGCCTTGGCGCCCCTGTTGTAGCACACAGCACGCTATGACCAAACTGAGTGTTTAAAATTTAAACAAAAGATGTGTTAGATGACAGCACTGCATTATTGATCTTTCCCCTTCGTCGGTTTTCCAAACTAGATTTGTGAAATTGTATACGTTACTTATAGTTATTGAATAGTCGCGGCTGTGATCATCAAATCCTCCCTGCTTACGAATGCATTTAGTGAATATAACAGGACCATTCCCGAAACCGTCATCAATCGGTCCCTTGGATCACGTTTAGGCATGTCTATCTACTTTATTAGTGCGAAACGTTCATTCGACCGCAAAGCGCAGACAGACGACGTGTCCGGTCACAGGGGGGTCCAGAGGGCGAACGCTCTGTGCGTCGTTCGACGCGAATCCGATTAATAACTTCGAGAGATCTACTGGCGAATCTGACGGGCGACGCGCGAGCACGCGGAAGAGAGCCCCGGGGGCGTGCCGGGGCCGAGGGCCCGGCGCCCCGTAGATATGGATTCGAGATTAACGAGGACGCGGGGCGGGGGCGGGCGGCGCGCGGGGGGCGCGTGTTTACATGCGGGTGCAGGCGGCGGGTGCAGCGGGCGGCGATCGATGCTGGGCGGGGCGCGCGGGCGGCGGAGGCGGGGCGAGCGCCGCGCGCCGCGCCCGGCCTCAGTCCGCCTCGGGGCCGCGTCCGCGCGGTCGTCGCCTGTCGCTTGTCCGCGGTGCGGCGCGCCGGAGTGTCTCCGCGTTCGCGGGCGCCCGGCGGCGGCGGCGAGCCTCGCGCCGCCCGCCCCCGCGCCCATGCCGCTGCCGCCCGAAGCAGCAGTGCACCGCCATCCCCGCCCGCGACCCCCGCGCCCGCCCGGCGCCGCGCGCGCAGCCTGGCCGCCCGCCGCCCGCCCGAGTGCCAAGCGCCCGCGTCTCAGCCGCGCCTGCGCCCCGTGTTCCTGTGGGCCCGCCAGCTCGACGGCACCGTTCAGGAAGTTCGCTGCGAGGACTACGACCCGCGTAACCGTATTCGCATAGCGCGCACCGTTAACGGTTGGCGAGTGATCCCGCGTACGGAGATCTACAACTCTATTAAGCTCCCGCCGCCGCCCCCGCGAGTGAGAAGAGATCGCCGCCGACGACGCAGGCGTTCGGGCCGTCCTCGCCGAAGACGCGAGCGCGTCGAGCCCGAGGAGCGCCCGGAGCCGGCGCCGACCGCCTGGCTCGCGCCCGACCTGGAGTCGCACATTCCCTCGCACACTATCGCGGTGCCGCGCGCTGCGCAGGTCCAGCGAGCAACACCTGAGTCCTCGCCGTCGCACCCGCAGCTCGCGTCGCCGTCGCCGCCGCCGCACGCGCACTCGGAGCCTACGCCGCTCGACAATCTTTTAGCGGTGGCCGAGCTTGAGTTTAACCAACAACGCGGTGAAGAGCTCGAGCTAGAGCTTCAGGCTACCGCTAGCGCCTCGTACGCCTTCCTCCCGGACGAAGCGGTCGCGCGTGACGTGATGTCCTTCGAACTCGACGAGCCGAAACAGGACGGCATGTTCTTTGAACGTAAAACACTCGAGTCGGAACGTGCGACGGAAGAAGACAGCTTTCAAAACGATATGGTTGTGCACAAGGATCTGTTCGAAACTATTAGTGAGGCTCATTATCTGCCGGAATTAGGTGGCCCACATGACGAAGAACTGTTGGAATCTCTTGTTGAAAAAGGCTGCGAAGACAATCAAATACTAGGGCAGGCTCTTGACAAGTTTGCGCATTTAGTACATTCTTCAGGTGATTATGTTGAAGAAGAGGAAGATATATTGTTGAGCGGAGCACCGGTCGCTGATATTATCGATAGATTAGAGCAATCTTTAGAATCGCCTGGACGAAGTAGTATTACTGCAGCTCAAGGCCTTCTTCATCTGCACCATATAGGTGATCACCTTACTACCCAGGAGCATCAACAAACAGAACAACAAAACTATATCCCCGATGAAGTATTTGCAACACAACCACCAACTGAATGTACAATAGAGCCATTAAATTCACAACCTGATATGCACTCAAACGAAGCTAACCATTTAGAATATGACCAAAATGCCCAGAAGAGGCTGGAAACTGAAATTGCTCCTAGTCCTAACGTAATGTATACTGAACCAGTACCTGAGAAACAAGAGACTTACGTAAATGATACTTATGATGAACAACAGTCTCATTCACTGCTACCCGATCAAAGTGAAATAACGTTACCTAGTGAAACAGTAACTGAAGAATTTAGAAATGATAATTGCGGACAAATCGTAGACAAATCTCAATTAAATCATTCAGATGAAAATGATAACTCATCGCTAGTACCAACTGAAATGGACTATACGAAAGAACTTGAGGAAGCCTCTAACAGCGATGAAATGATACCGACTGATTTAAGTATAAAAAACGTTGATAATGCTACTACACCCTTAGTCGTGGCAAGTGTAGCGGAAACAACGAATCACACGGAAGACAGTTTATCGGATAAAAGTGATGACCAACCTAAAGATTTAAGCGTTCATCGGAGGTTACCCACACCACATGCATCACCGAAAAGGATAGACATACCACGAGCACCCTCAAGAGAATCTGATGCAATGCAATCGCCACAGCCAAGTGGTATTCCTGCTGTACCATCGTCACCAGAAATATTTACTATGCCACTTACGAAAAGTAAACAGACATTGTTCTTAGAAACTCTTCTTTCATCGCCTTCACCAAAAATGTATACTTCTGAAGTAACTATTTCTAAACAACAATGCGAGCCACTTAACTTGGGTAAACATAGAAAATCGGCAAGTCCCACTGTTTCTAGTTGTTCTGATGAGATCAGAAAAATAAATAAAGAATATGGTGAACCTCAAGAAAAGAGAATAAAGAAGGAGACAGCAGAAGAATTAGCTAAAATAAGTAAAGTATTTGAAAAGTGCAATGAAGACCAACATGATATCAAACCTAAAAAGCCGGAAAAATTATGCACTAAGTTAGCAGATGAAATAAGCCCACTGAAACAATTACATTCTCTAAAAACAAGCCCAGATTTTAACATTCCAGACCCGCTGTTAGTACCAAAAGACAAACTCAATCAAATCTTAGCAGCTCCAGCAAGAGAAATACCAGCATTACTGCTACAAAGGCCAGAGCTCAGGCTACCAGAAGCTTTTGCTTTCCCTGCAATTTTACAAGATCCTGATATACTCGTTATTTCATTATCACAATTAGAAAATATTTTAGAAAATGAGAGTAAAAAAGAAATGGCCGCTAAACCTAAAGATTCGAAAATCACAACAGCTAAAACTGCTACAACCACAGAACAAACAAATAATGCGCAACAGCCCGATCAGACCAGTCAGCCGAAACCTATACCTTCAATGGATGCGTTGGCTGGTGACATTGATGCTGCTACCTCTGCCGCTCTCAACCAAATGTTATGGTTACCATATCTCAGTCAACTAGAAGCGATGGCGGCTTGTTCACAAAATATGGATTTCTTAAAAGCTCTCAATTCATCCGGGTACACAGGCTCAAACTACCCTGATCTATCTCAAATGTTTGGTCCGTCAGCTGCTCGATTTATGGGCCCCACAGGATTCCCAATGATGCCTTCAATGGATTATGATAATCGGTTGCAGTTCGCAATGTGGCAAGAGGCAATGAATCACGCCAATGCAACGACATCTCAGAGACCTAAACCGAGTACATTAGAATCCCAGATGAAAGATTTAGCATCAAAAACCAGCGACGTACAAAATCCTTATGTACATTCCACAAAAAATTCACAAAACAAAACCCATACGTCTGCACGAACGAGCCCTATAGCTCACAGTTACAACAGTAACCAAAGATCGATATCTCATAACCCGTTCTTACAAGGCATGTACCCTGGCATGAACACAAATATACGACCAAACATGCCACTGCCAGGTTTGCAAATACCGTATTTCAACCCGAATTTAATGGGTAGTCAAAGGTCTAGAACCGGTCAGCAGAAGAGTCCGACATCACCTTACTATCCAAACAACAATTATCTACAATCAGTGAAGCAGCCTGAAGGCAGCCATCAAAGGAGCAGTAGCACCAGTTCTCAGGAATCGCCACGTCCTAGAATAAGTGTGAAATCGCTGCAGAACCTTTTGGAACCAACGGCAGCTGCTGCGTCTGGGGTGGCTTCGTCGGTGCGACGATCTTCGAACCCACCAGCGGCAACAATGAACCGGCGACGAGATGAGCCTGAAGTCGGCAGCACTACACCTCTCGGCGAGCCACCTCCACACATGCCGCCGCATCCACATGACCCTTCATCATTCCACTTGTGGCATCCGCTGTTTGGCAAGTAAGTAACTTTTTATTTTATCTACTCGTACTCGATGAAAATTTATATTTTGGGAAAAATTATTTAATTCCGTCCAACTAAACCGACTAAGTGACAGGATCAACTGGATTTCTTTGTCAATGATTTATGCAATGATTGTATGTAAAAAAATATAGCGAAATCTTTGAATGTTGCCTTTCACTATAGTGACGCTTTTACCATTAGGTATCCTTTTCAATCCTTATGGATATCTAGTAATCCTTTTTTATTCCAGTTAAAAAACTGCAGCCCGTTATTTTAACGTATGCTTTTTGTAATAGTATCTATAAAAAGGAGAAGAGCTAACAAGCGATTCTGTTGTTTTATAAATGTATTATCTATAAGCGAGATCTTTAATAATTTCAGTTAATTTACATGATCATTGTTATAATAACATTGAGCAGCTGCAAAAATAATCCTCACGTAAATAGTTACGGATAGTTTATTTATGTAATGTAGTTTAATGGGTCAGTCAACAGACATCCCCTTTAGGAAAATCGATACAACCGAAAATAGCCGTGTGAGGTTATAGAGTAGGATATATCTATCCGTTGTTTGCGAATTTAGAATCGTCTCGACAAGCTCACGACATATTTAACCTTTTTATTGACTTAAACGTCGCAATTAGATATAAATTCAGACAATTTATATAGTCGTTTAAAATGACAATCAAACTCTTCGGATCTTTTATATTCTGAACCAATTTGAAAATAGAATTATCCGATGCTCAATGTTATTCTTCATTTGAATTTTAAAAATGTTGATAGTGTTCTATTCTGAGCTAATTACTAATCGAACGAGTTAACATGACATCAGAAGGCCTATTCTATTTCCCCAAAAACAAATTTTTGACAATTTTCGAAATGCTCACACGACTCCAAGTAAACGCAATTTCCGATAATTTATAATGGAACGGAGTTAGGACCTGACACTATCTCTGATGCACTGACAATCTTCATGGATGTTATTTTAACAAAATTGGCCGATTATTGCGTATAATAAAGCCCTATTGTCCAGGCTAAAAATAAACTCGCACGAGTTTCGTTTGAAGAACTTATGACTGTAATAATTACTTGAGTGGAAACATTCCAATTTCAGTACACGTGTTGAATTGGAGTTTAGAGTTTGTTTATAAACAAAACGCTTTTATGTTTACCATTTTCTGTGCCTATGCGTAGATGTTACAAAATATTTTTCGAGACGCTACTCCTCTCCTACGATCTCTCGTTTATATCTTACGCTTGCACCTAACTATTAATGTAGAATTGCATAGTACGATGCCTTGCGATAATTAGTTATTTAAGAAACATATAGAAATAGAATACGAGATTTATATTAACAATTAAACTGCTACTAAAATTGTAGCGATTTTCGTCTGAGAAACTGACGGCGGCCATGATTTCTTCCAACGATTTTTTTATGAATTATACACCAATATCTTTGTCGTGAATTACTTCGTCCATTGGTGAATACCACACGAAAATCTTTTTAGTACTTTCTGAAAATCTCGCGTTCAAAAACCCAGCAAGGTAACTTTGTTTTATTATGACTGATTTAATAATATACTTATATATAATTTTTAAGTTGATAATAATATCATCGGAGAAAATGTTCTATACGCGAGACTCACATCTCGAAATGAACCGTTAAAGGCGGTTTACCTATTCCTTTCCGAGTTCAAATCCCGCTTGAACAAATATTAGCATACATACCATTGAACAGTCGGCCTGTCCGTTCGTCTCAGTTAATAGGTAATTGGCTTGTCACTTGCTCTATGTATGACGAATGGAATGTTGAGTATAATTCGTGTTTGCGATAAATCTAAATAGATATTTATAATATTCTTGAACGGTCAACGGCAAATTAGTTAATAATACTGTCATATTCCTATGCGTTTGGTACTTTTCATTACCTTTTCAGAATTAATCGATTAATAATTTTATTGCGCTCGTTTAGTGTAATTGCGATGTTAGAATTTGTTCCCATTCTTAAATATTTCGTAATAGGTATTTTCCCGCGACTTCACCCGCTTAAATTGTAGCCTATGTAACCCGCATACGATGTAGCTTCCCGTAGGTGAAAGGATTTTCATAATCGGACCATTATTTCAAAAACGGATTTCAACGCTATTTAAACTCGAAAAAGATTTAACATACGCGCGAAGTCGGGCTAGATCGCAAGTTTAATATAAATTATATAAACAACCATCCTATTCGAAAGGCGAAGCCACTTTTCCCCTATAAATATTTACAGAACTCTAAACTAAGGCAGCCAGCGCAATTAGATAGCTGGTAGAGCTGCCCTTTGACGCTCACAGTTGGAACTGAGTGGGTTCTTTGCTCACGTAACTTGATGAGGTTTCGAATAAACACCAATAAATATTCAGGATCTGCTGGGCGCATTCAAATTGCTCAACAACCTTGTGGGATGTTTAATCAGGAATAATTTCAGCGTATGACCTACGGGTATTAGTTACGCATACGTTAACACATAATAACTCTTACTAAGGTTGTTATGAGAATTAACTATAAGTATACTGACGAGTAATCACCGAGTTTTAGACCAACGGTTCAAACTCGACCAGAAGCACAGAGCGTAGATTTTCAATCAAACATAACCTACTTCAAAAAGTAATAAAAGTTTTATTTATTAAAACTCTATGTGTGATAGCGCTGCGCTCGACGTCGACGTTCGAGGCTACTTTATACAGCATAGCATAATTGCACTTTCAAGTTAAACGAAGGTGGCTTTAAAAGTACAGAAACCGCGCGCCTAATTCTGTTCATAAAATCTATTGCAATCCATTTTGATTTGACATTTTAAAGATGTTCACGAACTTCACGCTACAACTATTTGACAGATGATAGGAATTGCGATCGCGGCGTTTTTTTTTATCATCATCATCATCATCATCATCATCATCATCAGCCCTTTTACGTCCCCACTGCAGGGGCTCATGCCTTCCTTATGGATGGTTAAGGAGGATGGGCCATGACCCTCCACGCTGGCCCAATGCGGATTGGAGGGTATTAACGACTGAAAATTCAGCCGGGACCAACGGCTTAACGTGCCTTCCGAAGCACGGAGTAGCTCGAGATAATATTTTTTTAGTCACCCATCCCGTGACCGACCCTTGCGAAAGTTGCTTAACGACAACGATCGCGGGCCGCGGCGCTTATCCACTACGCCACCGAGCTACTCTTTTTTATCATATTCGCTATAATTAAAAGCGATTGCGATAGGATTTGTAATTAGACAAATAGCCAACGTATTTCACATTATTTTAGCGAGGAATCAGGGGTGCGAAGTTCCTATCGAATTGCCATTGTTATAAAACTATGTATATCATAACAATTGTCAAACAGATGTCATTGTCATTTTGTTAAATGATATTGATATTGTATTATATATAAATTCTTTTTGTATTATCTTAAGCAACGTAATCAGATAGACGCGCTCAGAGCCTTTTTTATTGTTTTATCTATTACCCCAAATTCCAAATTATCATATTTTTATTATTGTTTCTTTACGTGTAAAGACCACAAATGTGACATTGGTGGATTTGTGTAAACGCAAATAGGCCATGAATTCAAAAAAGAAGAATTATCCCTCACAACGGGACATTGGCAGAATGTCTGTGTTTAATGGAAAAAGGCTAGAATATAAAAAAAAGAAGAAGAATTATAAATAGACATTATAGCTCCTTTATTTTAAACTGTCACTTTTCCTATTCAAATAAACATTACCAGCGATAGCACTTACCGCTTTCAGGTGACTACAAATAACTGACATTATGAAGATTGAAAACAGCCGCGATATGCAGTGAAGTCGTAATAAATAATAAATCCACTTGAATATTCTATCCATATGCGATAATGCACAACGTATCCAGTATTATTACGTGTATTTGACGCAAATTAAAAACATAGAGAATACTTAATGATGGGAAACCGCTGTGTGTACAACGTAAATAAACCTTTGAATCGCGGATTACGACTAATCAATACAGATATTTACTTAATAAACTCTGTAAAATGACAGTTTTATTTTAAAAATGCTATCGAAACAGAGCCGAACTACCACGAATCAAGGATAATAATCAAAACATAAAAAACTTGGAACCTACTATTACAAAATGACAAAAAATATTTCAAATTTTAGCACCTACATATATTACATTTAAGAACTACCAGTAATAAAACTATGAAGACAACGCTTTTGTAACGCTTGGCCTTGTTATTAGACATTATTATCTTGGGGATCATATTAGCCAGATAAAAAATTAATGTTTTAAGTTCCAAATTAGTTTTGAAAGCTATTTTGTTTCGTCATACAAACGAACTGAGACAGTTTACCAAACCCAGAAGATGTACACCTATTATTACACATAAACTCAAGTAGGTACCAAAATAATTTCACTTTCACCAATATCAGTGAAATGATTTTGGTTTTACAATACCAAAATATGATACAAATATAATACGAACCCTTCCAAAATACTAAACATTCGCTCACCAGAATTTATTACAGAATAACAAGACAAGACAACCTGTAACTAGAACAACGTAAAAATCGATTTACATCCAATTACAAAAGCTCTCTCATAATTTAGTCTAGACCTTTCTACGGCAGCCTAACTGAATGTTGAACATTTTAATAATATAGATGATATTAGCGCCAAGGACAGAAAAAAACAGAACAGAAATAGACTATTTATTTGAAAGTTTGATGTGGAGAGATTAGGTTAGGAGCTCACGATTTCCGCACTTACGCCCAAGTTGCATAAAATGTTCTAAAAATTTGTATCGGTAATGTCGCTTATAACTAATGAATTTTAATGGACGTTTGCACAACACTAATCGGTCCGTTGTGGGCAAAAAGTTGGCTGTCTCGGTTCAGTCAACCTAATTCCGCTCAAAGACGCAGAAGCTTTTTAGGGTCTTAGGATCGGACTATGGGGAAGAGTTAATTTGTAAGTAGCA